GGTGTAATTAGTGCCAGGCCCTCGTCAGTCAGGGCTGTCACAGCCCTGCTCCATTTGCATGTACAGCTCAGTGCCTGGGGGAGTCGGGTTTATTTAAAGCCACCAGGACTTTGCTGGGTGGGTTCTGGATCAGCTGCTCCTGCAGAGTCAGAGGCCAGGGCAGGTGGGTGGGATTTTTCACCGGGTCAAGACAGAATGTACACATTTCCCTAATCCCTGACCTTTCCTCCTCCTCCTTCCCCATGTCTGCAGACACTGTGCCCTGTGCAGAACCAGATGGCAAAAGGTTCTCACTCACTGCTGGCTGTTACACACCTTCCTTGCTCTCCAGGGAACCACAACCAGGAATTCACAGCCTGGATTAACAATTCCAGGCTTACATGCAAAAAAAAAAAAAAAAAAAAGTAGTAAAACTACACCAGAAGGTGCTTTTCTCTGCACAAAACTCCTGAACAGGAAAACAAAACAGCTCCTCAAACACACTTTCCCCTTTTCCTTCTCTTCCACCTCCTCCCTGCTCCAAAAGGAGATGTTATTTCCCTCTATTGGAACGTCTCTGTTGCATTCTCAGAGGAGCCCAGTAAACAGCATCAAGAAGCATCTTCAGGACAGAAGGGATGTCAGTTTGACAGCTTTCCTATGGCCCATTGATTCCAAAATTTCAGAGGAAAATGACAGCACTGTGCTGTGCACATTTCACTTAGACACTGATTTCTGTGAAACAGAGAAGCCTTTGGAGAAAATCTGTCTCTGAGCCCCCTTCTCACACAGTCCTGGGCAGGGCTCAGGAACTGGTGGGTACCTCTGGCTGGCAGCACTCAGCAGGAAATATCAATCTGGCAAGAACTGCGGGCAAAATCCCTTGGGAAAGGGAGGAAGAGTCTGTTGTGAGGCTGCTGTGGAAGCTCTGCCATCGGGATGTCGGCACTGGTGGCTTTTGCTGCTCTTTCCCTGTTGGTGCACATCAAGGTCAGCCCCAAGCCAAGCAGTGTGATTGTGTCTGGAGCCAACAGGAAAACTTGGCCCGTGAAAATTCACCCTGAACTCCAGATTTCATGTTTAATTTGTTATGTCTGGGGCAAAACCCGAGGGAATTCCGTGGTGTTTCATGCAGAAGCAAAGGCCAACTGCGTGTTTTGGCAGCCAGGGCCAGATTAGCTCTGAAAGGCCACAAATCCTTCCCAAACAGAAACCAGATGCTGCAGTGACACGAGTCACAGGGTGTGACACTCGCTCAGGATCAGGCCTGGGAGTATTTCATGCCTGAGGGTGTTTGCAAGCAGAGTAAAAACCAAAAGGAGTGTGACACCTTTGCTATTTCTGAGAGAAAAAACAACTGAATCAGGGCATCTCTGACCAGGCACAGAACCAAGAGCAGAGGTAGAGCCAGGCTGCTGCTCACACACAGCTGAGCTGTGGGTAAGAGCTTCTGCTGGAGCTTTCCACCCTCCACTTCCCTGCCTCTGGATGAGAGAGCAAACTCTGCTTCTGGAATACACATTTCAGGTTTCAGACCTCGCCAGAGAGACAAACGGGTTTGTTGCTGCCAGTTGTGAACATCCCACGTTTGCCAGGGGGATCTCGGGCTTGTTTGCCACAAATGTAATCAGATGATCAATCAGGAGGAGCCAGGGAGAAATACCAGCATTGCAAACAAACATTTTCCAGTTTGCTCCCTGAAAAGAGCAGGGAGTTGACAGCAGAGAAGGGAAAACCTCTGGCTCTGCACTCCCAGCCCCTCTCCTGGCTCCCTTCTCCCAGCAGCCAGGCAGCAGATTCCCTCCAGCTGCTGGAAAGCTGCTTCCCAGTCAGGTTGTGCTTGAACAGGGCCCCCGAGGGAGGTTGGTGTGAGGGGGATCAGCCCCGGGCACAGCCCTGATGCCGGGGAGGGAGAGCAGCAGGGATGCTCCGGGGGTGCAGGATGGGGATCTGCTGCGTTCCTGGCAGCTGACACGAGGCTGTGACCTTGCTGCTCTGTCCTGCCCTTGGCCCCTCAGCAAATCCATATCTGGATTAGCTCAGCCACACTAAAACTCTGCATGGACTCGGGGTGGGAATTAGAGTGGCTTTGCTGCAGTTAATTCACAGGGAACTGGCTGCATTTGGGACCCTGCCCAGGTCCCCACCCCGGGTCTGGGCTGAAGGGAACACTCGGGGACAGCGAACCCCAAGGAGGACAGTGCAGAGCCAGGGGCACTTTGTACCTTGTCCCTGTATTTGTGAGCCCTTCCCTCTGCCCCCCCAGACACCTGGGCAAACACAGGGAAAAGCACTTGCTTTTCTAGTCGGCTCTTTAAGTGCCTCTTTCTTCTCTGCTGAGGAACTGTCAGCACTAAAATGAAAAGTGCTCCTTAAAGCAGGACTGAGAGGCTCACCAGGTGCCCTAATGGCCACCAAAATGCTTCCAAATGATGCCAGTTCTGGAGAAAATAAGATTATTTTTTAGGGCTGAAAACTCAAACTCTCAAAAGTTAGGAATTAACAGAGTTTCCCACCTAATTGTAGTTTGTGCCATGAGGATGTGTGCTGCATACAGCCTTTAATTGCAGGATCACACATTTTTAGTTTCTAGGTCTTGGTGTTTTAATTTCCCTATTTCATGCAAAATATTTGAAAATTTTTGCCCGTTTCATTTCCCCAAATGAAAACTCTTTCCCCCTAAAAATAGAAACAACAAAACTCCTCATTTGTACAACGTTCAAACACGATCTTTTAACTTTCCTCATGATGACCAGCCACATATAAAGACAAAAAGCACTGCTGTAAAAGCAGCCCTATTGAAAGAAGGAAAGAAAAATTCTTGCAGAAGCTGCAGAAGGAAATGAAGGGAATTTTTGATCACTTTATCCAGGGCTTTCTACGCTCTCCCTAATCCAAATAAAGCAAACCTCCAATGGATGGACACAAGAGATGAGCTGTAAATGGTTCCTCCAACTCCACCACTGAGTTGTACCAGCCTGGGAAAGGGCTGGAACTGCTCTTCCCTCCCCCTTGGCTCCGGCCTTTCCTCCCTGAAGAATAATTTGGTTTGAGACCTGCAGTCAGAGCTCAGGAGGAGCCAGGAGAGGGGCTGACCCCGCACGTATCAAACCATTCCACACCCTTCATACTTCCAAGATACTTTTTCCATCTCCCTGCCTTTTTTTCCCCCCCCCATCCTGCATTTTCTGCATGTTTCTGCCTCCTCGAGATAGTTTTGCGTTATCAAAGGGCAACAGGAGAAGAGAAAAAACTGTTGCTGTATTTAGCATTGATTTTTCCCCTTCACTCTGAGTCACAGAAGCTAACATTTAATTAATTTCTGACACTTTGACAGCTCCTAAGAAGACATTTGTAGAGCTATCAAGTGCCGCTGATAGCACTGTCAGACAGACACTTTTTGAATTATCAGCTATTAAGGACCCATATGCAACAAATTTCCAAGGATTATTATACAAATTGTTCTCTGAATGAGAAAAGCACACAAAAGCTCAGCGAAACATAAAGAAACCATTGTTCCCAGGTGAATTTGATATTTGCAAATGTTTTGCTATTTTGATCACTTACGTGGTTTTAATAAATCCAGTTCACTTTGTCTTTTATTAAGGAAATTAAATGGCCTGGTTTTGGGGTGGCTGAGAACACGGCCAGATTTCCCAGTCAGGGTGGTCTCTATGGAGATACAGCTTGGGAAACATGGAATGCTTTATCTCAGGGAGTGCCAAGCAGGGAATGAGGGAATTAGGTTGGAAAAGACCCCCAAGATCATCGAGTCCCGTTGTCAGCCCGGCACTCCCACCGTGGTCACCTCCAAACCACGGCCTCAAGTGCCTCATCCACGTGTTTCCTGACCACTCCCAGGGATGGTGACCCCATCCCTGCCCTGGGCAGCCTGTGCCAATGCTTCACACCCTTCCTGGGAAAAGACTTTTCCTGATATCCAATCTAACCCCCCCCTGCAGCAAACTGAGTCCGTGTTGTCTCATCCTGTCACTTGCTCCTGGGAGAAATTTCCTTCTTCTGCCAGGGACCTTCCCTTCTTGAAGGAAAGAAGGTCCCTTCAAGACCTCTCAAGCCAGAAACCCCCAAACCAAAGCAGCCAGTAGCTGTGGTTTCTTCTGAACAGCTCCTGCCTTTACTCTTTGTTGGTGCTGATGTGGCAGAGGCAGCCCAGCCCAGCCAGCCCTGGCTGCAAAACTGCTGCTGTCAACTTCCATTATTGTCACTATTCGGGTCTTGGGGGTTAAAATTTATTTACTTCACTGCTGGAGGGAAAAAAAAAAAAAAAAAGGAAAAGCAAATGGAAGTCAAAAAGCAACACAGCCCAGAGCCCCGTGAAGCACATGGAAAACAAAGACAGTGGGCCATGGCACATCTGCCCTGAGCTGTGCACACCCAGCAAGGAGCAGGGAACGGTGGGGGAGCCAAGGCAAGAATCCCAGGCACTGTGCCTGGATGGGCTGTAACACAGAGTGACACCTCAAAAATCACAGAATATCCTGAGCTGGGAGGGACCCCCAAGGATCATCCAGACCAACCCTCAGCCTTGCACAGACCCATCCCCAAGAGTCACCCCCTGTGCCCCAGAGGATCAGCCAAACCCTCCCAGAGCTCTGGCAGCCTTGGGGCTGTGCCCACTGCCCTGGGGAGCCTGGGCAGTGCCCAACCAGCCTCTGGGGGAAGAACCTTTGCCTGAGATTCAACCTGAGCCTGCCCAAGCCATTCCCTGGGTGCTGTCTCTGGTCCCCCAGAGCAGAGCTCAGGCTCTGTCCCTCCTCTGCCCCTCCCAAGGGAGTTGCAGACTGCAGTGGGGTCTCCCCTCAGTCACAAGCCTAATTCTACAACTGCCTTCTCATCACTGCAGCCCTTCAAAAACGGGGGGTTGATTGCTATTTTTTTTTTTATTTATTGCTGGACTCACTGATCTCTGTGGGTCCCTTCCAACTCAGCATGTTTGATGTGGTTCCATCTTTGTTTCACGTGCTGACCTCTCGACTGTCTCTCCAACCTCTCTGTGCCAGGGCAGAGCCGGAGCCTGGCACTCTGACCTCCATGGATCCCCTAAACCTCTCCTGGTACGAGGGTGACATCGGTGACAGGAACTGGAGCAGGGCCCTGAACGCCTCCCAGGCTGAGCAGAAGCCCCAGTACAACTACTATGCCATGCTGCTCACCCTGCTCATCTTCGTCATCGTCTTCGGCAACGTGCTGGTGTGCATGGCCGTGTCCCGGGAGCGATCCCTGCAGACCACCACCAACTACCTGATCGTCAGCCTGGCCGTGGCAGACCTGCTGCTGGCCACCCTGGTCATGCCCTGGGTGGTCTATCTGGAGGTAGGAGGCTTGGGGGTGCAGGGAGGGAGGGGAGGGTCTGGAAATCGGCTGCTGTGCGACCTCCCGGGTTTCCCGAGGGTTTCTCGTCTCCGGGTTTTTCCAGGAGATGGGTGTGAGGGCAGGTGGCAGGCTTAACAAACTCCACTGCTGCTCAGAGGGATGGATTGCAATCCAACTGCACCGTACAGGGAAGGTTTAGGTTGGACATTAGGAGGAAATTCCTTACAGGGAGAGGGATCGGACACTGGAATGGGCAGAGTCACCGTCCCTGGAGGTGTTTAAGAAGGAACTGGATGTGGCATCAGTGCCATGGTCTACCAGGCAAGGTGGGGTTGGGGCAGAGGTTGAACTTGATGATCTCTGAGGCCTTTCCCAACCTGGTTGATTCTGTGATAAATGTGGCCTTTAAACAGAGGGGTCGAGAGTGAAAGGACCCCAAAGTTGTTCTCAAATCCACACAAGAACAAATCTGCCACTGCACCAGGGGTGTCCCCCTGAAACCACATCAGATGTGCTGAGTTGGAAGGGACACACAAGGATCAGCGAGTCCAGCAATGAAAAAAAAAATAATTTAGCAATCAAAGCCCTATTTCTGAAGGGCTGCAGTGCTGAGAAGGGAGCTGGAGAAGTGGAGGGTAAATCCAGAGCTTTCATGTCACGATATGGGAGAGAAAATCCCAAGGGAGCTGCTTTTCACCCTGCTGCACTTGGCACGGGGGTTTGGTACAAAACTAGGCTGAGTTTACAGTTAATTTTCAGGCACTCATTTCCGAAGGAAAACGCTGACACAGAGAGCAGAGCAGGGGAAGAAGCCACTGTCAATGAGCCCATTAAGTACTAATGCAAAGCAAAACAAACCCACTGACATGACATAGGCTGTCGAGAAAGCACAATACTAATTATCACTCGAGTTAATTATTGTTTTCATGGCACTTAAAAAATGTAAAGCATCATGCATCTGCTAAAGCTTATTACCATGACCACAGGCTGGTTGGGAGTGCAGTCAGTGCCTCTGGGACTGGTTCTGCCCTTCCATTCTGTTCCTCTGTTGCCACAGCCCATTCTAAGCAGAGGTTTATCCTGTAAGGAGCTCCTGCCCTCTCAGGCCCAGCTAGAAGAATCTCTCACACACTTTTTGTTTAAAAAGCCATAAATGATGCAAAGTGCTTTCCCCTTTCTGAGCTCACCTGCACATGAGGTTGGTCAGGAATCACAATTTTTTCCAAGCTTTGTGTCACAAACTCGAGCAAAAACTAATGTAAAAATGAAATACTTAAAAAACTCCCCCCCCCAAAAAACCAGCCTTGATGCAAACAGATCTTCTACCTCCAAACTTGAGGTCTCTCCTCCATAACTGAGAGCACCAAGAGAATCTGATTTTGCAGAGGTTTATATCTGGCTGGAAACCTTTGCCTTTGGGCAAATTCTCATCAAAGTTACTGATGTAACTGTCTCTTAAGTGCTTTTTTAATCACTGAGTATTCATCTGTCACTCAGGCTTCAATGCAGTCATTCTCCCTTCTTTATGCTGCCTATGGTTATGTATATCAGAGCAGAAATAACTGAAGAATAGATATCTTATTCATTCTATTTTCAAATGCAGTAGGACTCTATTTTTATTAGAGGGAAATATACTTTTTTCATCACATGTCAAACACAGCAGTCCGAATAATTGCTATTAAACTTAATTGGCAAAGTTCAGTTTCAATAGCAAGAGAAGTGAAGAGAAAAAGGCTACTGGTGACTGGAAGCATTATCATCAGTTCTTTGTCTTTAGCACATCATGTAGAGTGTTAAAGAGTTTTCACTCTGAATTAAATTCATTTTGTTCACAAAAAAAAAAAAATAAAATATATATATATATATATATATATATAAAGGCGAGGAATGTCTGCCCTGATCTTAAACTGAGGAATGAAGGAAAGCTCCTGCTTGTCTACTGCTGGCCTTTGCTGGGTATAATTGCAAAAAAAAGTCTAATGAAGAGCTGTAAGTACAGTTAGAGGTGCTTGGAACCAATGTTAACATATTTGCTTCCTCAATCTGCTTTGAGATGCTCCAGAGACCTGTTTAAGCCCTGCCCTGTTCCCTCTGACTTCCAGGAGACCTGTACTCCCTGATGTCCCTGGAACATGAGCCCAGGTCTGTGTTTGCCCTTTGGGCTGCCCAAACCAACACAGACCAACGGGGTGGGACTGGGGAGGATGAAATCCCACCAGCCACTGGGGGAATGTCCTAAGGAATGGTTTGGATGGAGCAGAGGAACCAGCCTTGGAAGCAGCAGAGCTCCAACCACCCCCGGGCACCTCTGTCTTCGTGCAGAGCTCTCCCTTTAGACCCTGCCAACAGCCCAGCCCCAGGGATCTCTGTACCCCCTCCCTCTCTCTCTGCAGGTGGTTGGTGAGTGGAGGTTCAGTCGGATCCACTGTGATATCTTTGTGACCCTGGATGTCATGATGTGCACTGCCAGCATCCTCAACCTCTGTGCCATCAGCATAGACAGGTGAGGGCTCTGTGCCAGCAAGTTGTGTCAAAACCCAGGGGAGCAAGTCACAGCCACCTTTACATGGTCTAATTTTACCTGTGACTCAGAGGCCTGAAAATGGGGAGAGTGAGTGCTGTTGATGTCTTGAGCAATTTAGGGGATCTCTGTGGGCTCTGAGCGGGGATTCTGTCAGAAGACACAGAGACACCGACCTTGGGAACGTAAATTAAATTCTCTGTGTATGTTCACATTGGTTTGGTCCTTCTGGTTATAGTCTGGAATGATGGAACAGCCATCAGGGGGAAGGCAGCAGCTCAGAGTGGAAGGAAAATGCTGTGCTGAGCTGAGCCCAGCCTGCTGCCCCCCAAAGCAGGGACTGCGGGCACCCATGGCCTGGGAATGGGACTGTTCTTACCCTCCCCTGCTGGAGCAGGCCCTCAGGCACAGGGGCTGGGTGGGATTGCCAGTGTGGCAGCGCTGGCAGGCTGACAGCAGGCTGGCTCTGTGTCCCCCCAGGTACACAGCAGTGGCCATGCCCATGCTCTACAACACCCGCTACAGCTCCAAGCGCAGGGTCACCCTCATGATCGCTGTGGTCTGGGTGCTCTCCTTTGCCATCTCCTGCCCGCTCCTCTTTGGCCTCAACAACACAGGTGAGTCTTTTGCCACCTGCAGATGGCTGCTGGCACCTTCCTGGCTTTGCTGGGTCCCCAGGGAGCCTCTGCTACCAGTCAGGAGGGGATAGGGGGTCAGGGTTTGGGTGTATCGAGGTGTATCTGCCCCTGTTTAAGGTGCTTTCTGCCAGTGCCATCCCCCTTGTCAGCTGCTCCCGGGTCTGATTCATCTCGTGCTGTTTCAGAGCAGTGTTTTAGGCTCACCAGAACTGAGGTTACGTGGAAGTTTACACAACACCAGACAGCATTTACACAACACCAGACAGCATTTACACAACACCTGTCCACTACAAATTCAAAATCCCTCCTATTAAAACATGCAAAAAAAGGAAAGCCATGGGACAAAACCTTCACAGAGACAGGAGAAGAAAGGACTGGCAGTTCAGCCATCAGTCTCCTGGGAAGCCTGGGTTGGATACAGGACAGATGCAGTGGCAGGGAAGGCGGGAAGCAGCTCCGAGCAGCAGAGAGAACTATCCCGAACCCCTTTGTGTTCCAGATGCCAACGAGTGCATCATTGCCAACCCTGCCTTCGTGGTGTACTCCTCCATCGTGTCCTTCTACGTGCCCTTCATCGTCACCCTGCTGGTCTACGTCCAGATCTACCTCGTGCTGCGGCGCCGCAGGAAGCGCGTCACCACCAAGCGCAGCAGCCACGTCCTGGACTCGGACACACAGGCCCCCCTGAAGGTAACTGGCCCTGGGCCCTGCCCCCAGCACTCCACACACCCCTTCCCCTCCCTGCTCCACTCCCCAGAGCACCTCCTCCCGTCCCCACGCGTCCCTGGCTGGACTGGGTGAAACGCTGGGTCGCAAAGGTGGGTGCTCTGTCCTGTGCCAGGCTGGAGTGCCAGCTGCACACTCTGGGTTCCCAGGTGCTTCAAGGGCTCCCTGGATCCCAGGGGATGTTCCAGCAACAGATCTGCTCCAGGAGCTGCTGCATTAACCAGAGGGCATCTCCTGTGGCTCTGCTGAGCTGGGGTTGGGGTACCCCAGGAATACAGGCTACATTGTCTGAGCCAGAGCTGCTGTTGGGGAGAAGAATCACGGAATGAAGGGGTGGTTTGGGTTGGAAGGGACCTTAAAGATCCTCTTGTTCCACCCCCTGCCATGGGCAGGGACACCTCCCACTATCCCAGGTTGCTCCAAGCCCCATCCAACCTGGCCTTGGACACTTCCAGGGATGGGGCAGCCACAGCTTCTCTGGGCAACCTGTGCCAGGGCCTCCCCACCCTCACAGGGAAGGATTTCATCATAATATCCCAGCTGAACCTGCCCTCCTTCAGTTTAAAGCCATTCCCCCTTGTCCTATCACTCTTTGTGAAAAGCCCCTCTCCAGCTTCCTCGTGACCCCCCTTTAGGTGCCACAAGGTCTCCCCAGGGTTCAGTGGAAATGGTTTGTGTGGTTGGGGTGCAAACCCCATCACTGGTCCCGGCACCCCTGCAGGGAAACAGCCTCTGCCAGCACCAGATGTGTGAGTGGAGCCCAGCTGAGCGGGCTGGGTGTCAAACAGCTCTTAAAAACACCGCTCTGGCAGCACATGCAAAACAGACGGAGGCAAAGTGCAGCCCCAGAGGCACCACCTCCAAACTGTGCTGCCTCAGGGCCACTGCCATGCCGAGGAGAGGAGACAGGGACAGACAAACACCAGCAGATCTCTGAGGTTTCCTGCCTTTGGTGAAAAGCCCAAGGGATAGTCACCCCCATCACTGCTTCTCCAGAGCAGTTTTCCACCATCCTCACGCTGATTAATTCCTGCCTCGTGCCCTGTGTTTGTATTTCCACGTGCCTCCCTTACCAGCTCCCCTCCCCAACCCCTCTGTGCCTGTGTAACCTCTGAGCTGGTCCTTGCCCCTTAGGACAAATGCACTCATCCAGAAGACGTCAAGCTCTGCACAGTTATTGTGAAGTCCAATGGGAGCTTCCAAGTTAATAAGCGCAAAGTGGTGAGTGTTACAGAGAAGTGGCAGCTTTTCAGAGCATTTAGCCTTCCCCCTCTCACCCCCCTCAGGACACACAGATAATTTATGCAGGGTGGGAGAAAAATAAACTAAGAACAAAAGGTTGCCATTCGATCTCACAATTTAAATATTCTTCCCATTCCTTAGAGTGAAGCAGGGGGTTTAAGAGGATAGAGTTCAAAAAGCCAGACTAATCTCACCTAAAGATCAGCTCTAAAAGCCACAGCGTTTGAACATTTCATGTCTTTGATTTCCTTCTCCTCTCTGTTACTTAAATCTTGGACTGCATTGGCTTTGTTGGGTTTTGCTTGTTGGTTTAATTTTTATTTACTTGCATTCTGAAAACCTAAATAAAAATCTGTGGGGAGTGAAGAAAGCATCTCTCTCATTTCTGAGCCTCTCTGTGCAATAAAGGAGAATCCTTCAGTGAAGTTCTGTCACTCTCATCTACCCAAAATATCTGTAAACATTTCACAGCCCTTTCTCCAGGCATCACGTAGGGAGGGAGAAGAGGGATTGATTGTTCTCCAGCATCATCCAGCTTCACTCTGTAAGGAATGTTCACTGCTCCTCTCTGTATATTTATCTGTCTTTCTGTTGTGGACATTTGATTCTTGTTCAGGAGGCAGAGAGCCACATGGAGGAGATGGAAATGGAGATGGTGTCCAGCACCAGCCCCCCCGAGAAAACCACCTTCAAACCCGCAGCACCCAGTAACCGCCAGCTGGTCGTGCCAGTTGCCTCCAACAGGGGCAACAACTCCACCCTGCAGACATCCCTGAACAGCCCTGGGAGAGTGGAGAAGAATGGCCATGCCAAAGAAACCCACCACACAGCCAAGGTCTTCGAGATCCACTCCCTGCCCAACGGCAAGACGAGGAACTTCCTCAAGGCTGTGACCAGGAGGAAACTGTCCCAGCAGAAGGAGAAAAAGGCCACCCAGATGCTGGCCATCGTCCTTGGTGAGTGCCCTGGTGCTCCTGCAGAAATGCAGCACCTGCCCAGGCCTAGGGCCAGTCTGGATGGGCAGCAGAGCCTATTCCAGCCCTCCACAGAAATAATTTCACTTGCTCTGTGGGCAGCAGGTGCCCGTGGGAAGGGTCCCTCCTGCCCAGCCAGGGGCAGCTGGCAGTGCAGTACAAGGGGTTCATAAAGCTCTGTGGGGTGTCCCAAAGAACAGCTGGGTGCAGGGGCATAGCCCAGCAAGGAACTGGCACCCCAGAGGGCAGAGTTTCTGATGCATCTGCTCTAATTACACGAGCAGAGAAGTTCTTTAGTACCTGGGTAGAACACAGACTGAGACCTAACACGCAAACAGCAGCTTATTCCTCGGGGAAACATTCCTCCTTTATACCCAAAAGAACCTCGCTGTTCTCAGCCTCAGAAACCCGTCCAGCTTTCAGCAGTCACAGCCTGTCTCTCTCCTTTCCCTCCCCTCAGGTGTTTTCATCATCTGCTGGCTCCCCTTCTTCATCACCCACATCCTGAACATGCACTGCGATTGCAGCATCCCCCCGGCCATGTACAGCGCCTTCACATGGCTGGGCTACGTCAACAGCGCTGTCAACCCCATTATCTACACCACCTTCAACGTCGAGTTCCGCAAGGCTTTCATGAAGATCCTCCACTGCTAAAAGTCAAAAAAAAAAACAAAAAACCAAAACAAAACAGCAGCAGCGTTTTTAAGGGGGGAAAAAACCCAAAAAACCCAAAAAAAAAAAAAAAAAGAAGGGAGGAAGAACCCCCCCCACGCCAATTCACGCACACCGAGGGGCGGCCGCGGAGGGGGCTCGTGTGCCGGGCGTGAGGCCCCCGGGGTGACAGCAGTGCCATGCCCACGCCTCGGTGGGGGTGCAGGGGGGAGGTTCCCTCGTCCCTCGGGGTGACCTTTGGGGCAGCAGTCCCACCAGGGCACTTTTCAGAGCTGCCCTCACACTGCGCTCCGAGCGGGAGCCGAGGCAACGCTCGCCTGATTGCTGCCCGTGGCCATCCAGCCTCGGGTGCATTGGACACAGACAGTCTCAGAGCCACGGGGAGGTAGTGGTGGGTCTCTCCACTCTCACCAAAGACAAGACCATCTTTTCCGCTTCGCAACAGGAGCCAGAACCAGGCAGAGCTCGCGGGAGCTCCACGCAGCAGCTTTGCCTTCGCCTCGAGCTGACCTACCCAGTGTCAAACTGCTGAAGCCTTCAGAAAAAAAACCCACCGACACTTTAAGAGGTCCCCAAGCGGGTCAAGAAGGTTCTGCCACCCACAGACCCAACCCTGCAGCAGTGTGGGCCTCCAAGCCGTGGGCAGAAGGAAGAAGGAGGCGTCAGAGGTGTAAATATGAATAAACAGGAGGAACTATGGGAGCCCAAGCCAAGAAAAAAAAAAGGAGATGGAGAGAGAAACTCGAGAAGTGGTAGCTTGTCTTGCACGGTGTACATCAAACAGGACACCCTCATCTCTCATCAGCAGCGATTTCTGCCCACCAGCACCTCATGTCCAGTCTCTCAGCAGGATTCCCAGCCCGGGGCAGTGGTGCCGTGGTGAATGTAGACACCCCAGGACAGGGTGCCCCGGGAGGCACCTGCAGCCCTGACCCCCTCAGGTGGGAGCTTGAACAAGTCAGCCAAGTCAGGTCTGGCTCTTCTCACCTCCATCAGGGTGCCACAGAGCCCAGCACCACCTCGGGTCTGATTTGCCTCAGTCTCTCAGCAGAGAGTGCAGAATAACGTTGTGCCTAATTTAAATTAACACTGAAGGAGATAAAACTGTGTGCTTTGGAAAAAGCCAGAATAAAACCCCAAGAAAGCCCCTTCCTGGACCAGCTCCTGTGTCCAAGTTGGACTCTGGGAAAGGTCTGGATGTTCCCAGCATCCCTTATTCTCTGATACCTATTTTTCCATGGATTATAGGAATTGAAAACCCATAACAGCATAATTCCACCACGCTGAGTCTGGCATTGCCAAATCCACACTGCACTTACTAATTGTACTCAGTTCACAGTATGTTTTGCAATATCTCTGTAAATAAACCATAGCAAGACAAATAAAAGGACACAGAAATAGGCCTGGCTAGAAATTCCTGTAGGCTCTGGAGCAGCAGCACATTGCAATAGCCATAATGCAGAGGCAGACTCCCTACCTGCTGTTTTCTGAAGATGCTAAAACACAACCCAGAGAGCAATATAGTCCCCTTTCTCTCTATGCAGTTTGTGGAATATTCACATAGTTTCTGCTTCAGAATAGGTAAAGTTCACTGCCGAGGGTTTCTCTGATTCCCTGGTTTTCCTGTGTTGCTGACAAAGCATTTCCCTGGGCTGGCAGGGTGTGTTCCAGCTCTGTAGCAGGAAGAGATTATGTCAAGCAGCTACCACACATAATCTCAGCTGTTTTCTGCAATTGAAACAGCAGTCCCACCTTAATCCAAAAGGTTTCCATTCTAACCCTGGTGTTCCTGGAAGGGGCTGATATCCAGAGGTTTTAATGTTTAGCCCACAAACTTGTTTAACATTTGGACCTGGCTCTTCAGGGTCTGTTCATAGCTCTAAACTGGAAACACTGGCTCAAGAGATCTCAGGCACACATTGGCTGTTCTTTTTTTCCCCCCAGTTTTAACCAAGCAAGTTCACTCAGTGGTGGGAATCAACTCAGGCTGGTATCACTTACAATATTCACAGAATGACATAAAGTCAGTAGGTTTTTGGGTAGAAAAATAGTAACAAGTTACTGTTCTATTTCCTAACATATTTACAAGCAGAAAGATGCCATTTGTTGTGGTGAATTAACAGGTGGGGAGCTGAATCAAAATAGAAAATAATATGCAGACAGACAGAAAAAAGCTTTAAAGCATTTGGAAGTTGCCATAGGTGATATTTGCCCTGCACTAAAACATGGTGTGAGCCTTCAGAATAAGGAATGTGAATATTATCTTAACTTTGTGCCATAATTTTCCTTTGTGTTCAGTGTTAACCCAGGGTAAAATCATCATCTCCAGTACTGTGCACTTTGTTCCAAGGTTTAGTTTCTGAAAGCAGATGCAGAACCTCATAGCTCAACTCACCTCAACCACTACATGAAAAACTCTTCCAAAACACTGTGGAGGATAAAAAGCTGCTGAAAAAGGGCCAATGTCCTCCATGTGTGTGCCAGCTTGGACCAGGAAACCCAGGGGTCATTTCCTAGAGCTTAAAGTGTTTGTGGGGAATTCCCTGCAGCCCCCCCTTCATCCCAGGGACATCCCAGCACTCCAGGCTCAAAGGTATCTCATGGGAAAACCTTGGCCTTGGAACGGTGGCAATGCCATATCTGTTCATCTCTGCAGGTTTTCCTTTCCCATCTACACTTCCACCCAACAAACTAAAGCACTTTCCACCCCTGAACTGAGCCTTCGGGACTCTTTCCAAGAGAGGACCAAACCACACCATCACCTCTGGCTTCACAGAGAGTAAACAGAATAAACCAATGCCAAGAGCAAGGACAGGCTCTGCCAGCTGCTTGCACAGCACCTGACACAAGGACAACCAGCCCATGGTTGGGATGGAGGATGTTTGTAGAAACCTCTAAAGAACCATCAGAATTCAGCTGCACCGGGAAGGACCCTGAGGCCTCTTGCCCACAGACCTGGACCTGGCAAACACAGACCTCACTGCTCCTTCCACTCCGGACTAAAACACTGCTTTCCCAAAGACTCCTGATGGCAGGACATGCTGGGGATGGATCTGGTTTTTAAAACACACCCACGAGAAGGTTTTGTTTCTTTGTCCCCCCCAGAACTTCAGACCCTTTGCCCCCGTTTTGTGATTCATTATTTATAACCGAAGCTTTAGTTCTGCTTACTGGAGTCTTCCTGTTCCTGCTTTTCCTCCCTGTGATTCCCAGCTTGCTGAAAGCCCGGGAGGGGGGCTCTTGGCACCCCCAAACAGGTTTGAATTAAAAGCCAGTGAATTCTGCCTGCACTGTATTTGCCGCTTGCCTGCTCGCTCCCACTACACCGTTTATCTTCCTGACTGAAGAGTAAATTAACTACAGTAGGTCTGACCAGCTTATTAAATCCTGCTGGAAATAAAAAAAAAACACAAACAAACACACAAAACAAAACAAAAAAAAAAAGGAAAACAGGAAAAATAAAGGCACTACCTCCGTGGTGAACATGTGCAGTGCAAACAGGAATGTAAAAATGCCCATCCCAGGTACGTGCGACACCAACAAATGTCTTCATGCAGCACTGTCATTAAACAGAGACTTGCACAAGCCACCCTGCTGTTACATGGTTGTTTTGTTCTGTTTAACACCAGCAGTGTGAGGGGTCACACCCCAGGGACACACGGGACAAACACCACCGGGAGAATCCACCCTCAGAGCAGATCTTGGCTTTTTTTTTGGCTTGTTTCTCAGGTTTTTTTCCCTTTTCTCCCTTATCCCAGTCTATCTGTAGGAATCCTGGTGCTTGTCCAGCCTGAAGCCCGAGGATCAGACATGGCAGAGGAAGGGGGAAGAAAAACACAGGCAGAAACAAACTGGTCTTAAAATTTCTGTCTCTCTTCTCCTCCGGGCAGAAGTGGGCTGGGGAGGGTTGGAGGAGGGAGGGATGGGAAGCAGGGAAATGCCCAGCCCAGAGCTGGGTTGTGCTGGTCCTTGTGGCATCACAGCACTGCCCTATCCCAAGTCACAGGGAGCTTTTCCCCCTCTGTCTTTCACTTGAATTTACGCTGCAGAACTTCATTGTTTCATTCAGGAATATTTATATTTATGTTGCACCTACTGTGGCACTGTTTTCTCAAGCTACCCACTGAAATATTTGGTATTTTTGCAGGTGAACCTTAGCCTGGTTTAATGAGCACTTTTGTCTAAAGATTACTTTCTTTATACAAAAAAGAATAATAATAATAAAAAAGAAAATCCTTTCCGCTCCTAGGAAAGAAAATTATCTATTTCCAAGAAGTAACGAACTAAAATTTCAGTTTTATGGTGTTTTGGGTCCTTGGCATGAACCAAAGTTTTCAATACTTGTTTTCAACCAACACAGGACAAAGATAATCCCTGCCCTGAAGTCCTCAGTTTATACAGAAACCAGAATCTCCAGAGCTACTGAGTACAAATGAGGTTTAATTCTCCTTGTTGGATGATTCAACTCAATGCCACCATGAGGAAGAATTAGGGGCTCAAATGACACCCCCCCCAACACAACAGAATAAATGATATTCTAAGATGAAACAGGACACACACCAGTTGTTTTCAGCCTGTCTGGCCTCAGCCTGGCAGGATCAAAGGCAGCTCCTCTGACTTCACCCTTACAGCCAGATTTTATTTCTGAGGCTGGGGACTGCAAAACACCATTCACACCACCCAAAAGAGAGAAAACAGCACGACCTGCCCATCTCCTGGGGCATCTGAGTGAGTCTTACAGCTTCAGGTCAGGCCTGACAGATCCATGGCTGTGCTTTGTTCTGCACATCCAGGAAAAAAACAACAAAAAAACCACCACCAACAAAAAAATTAAACCAGTTACACTTGTTAAATTAACTCCCTCTCTTTAATCAAAGCTTCTTTTAATAACCTAAACTGCTCCCCCAAGTCTTTGACGATACCAGACTGTCTGCTTCCTAAATAGCTTTTGACTCATAAATAACAACTTTCTCCACCAAAGGAAGAGTGATGGATGGTGGACTAAATATAATTAAG